TTGACTTCTCCAGCTGCTCCTTGTACTGACGGATGAGGCCCTGGACGAAGCCCGTCTTGTTGCCCTGCTCACGGGTGATACGCTGCAGCAGCTCCGACTTCTTCTCCTCCAGCAACGCTGCCAAGGCATCGAAGCGAGCGCACAGCTCCCGCTTGGCCGCCTCGCTGTTCTCCTGCGGGGACGAGGGGCGAGGGATGCCACGGGTGTGTCCCTCATCACCAGCAGCATCCCGGGGGCTTCCCTGCTCCATGGGCTCCACCAGCTCCCTCCTGGCCATCCCAACTGGTCCCTGGCTGAGGTTTGACCCCCCAGGTTTTGGAGGGCTCCTTTTCCCCCTTTCCTCACCTCGGTGCTCCGGCACGAGTCCTCCAGCTGGGAGATGATCGTCTGGATCCGGTCGTTCCCCGCCACCAGCATGGAGATGCAGTTGTTCAGCTCGGTCTGGGCAGGAGGGGACAGACAGAAACAGCTTGAACTCCAGTGGGGACAGGGACAGGGACATCTCCCATCCCAACATGGGGATGGGCTGGGCATTGCCCGACCCCAGCTCTGCTCCCCCCACATCCCCCACAAGCCACGGCCACTCTAAATATAGGCTGTCTCCTGGGCGAAGTCACCCGGGCACTATTAATACCCCATGAGCGGGTCCCAGTGCTATTTGTGGCCAGCCCAGCTCAGCACATCGCCCCAGGACCAGTCATGTCCCCTGCAGGCCCCCCCGTGTCCCCCCCCGCACGGCACCTTCTGGCCCTGGAAGATGGTTTGTAGGGGAGCGACCTCGCAGTCCTTGTGGGCACCGAAGACTTTGCACATGGAGCAGGTGGGGACCTCGCAGGTGACGCAGTAGATGTTGATCCGCTCGTCCTCGTGCTCCTTGCACATGGGGTGCTCCCCCTTCTTCAGGGGCCTGCTGGAGAGAGTGGCACGGCTGGGGTGACATCCCCAGCCCAGTGACATCCCCATCCCGGTGACATCCCCATCCCGGTGACATCCCTATTGAGGTGACGTCCCTATTGAGGTGACGTCCCCCTTGCAGTGATACCCCTACCGTGATGACGTCCCACTCGCAGCATCAAAAAAAAATGACGTCCCACTCGCAGCATCATCCCCACTGCGGTGACATCCCCACTGGTGCTGCACGGCCACCCCAAAATCAGGTCCCCAGGAAAGAGGCCAGATCCCGGCATAACCCCACACTTGCTCCTTTCGGAGCCACCGACCTCTGTGCCTCCGTAAGCCCCGAGCCCAGTAAGTCCCAATTTAAACCAGTGCAGCACTGGGCACGGCAGCAGCACCGGGCACCGTTGGGTGGGGGGCCCTGAGGCCACGCTCCGGGGACACTGCACAAGCACCTAATTTTAGCCTTGGGCTGC